GGCTGGCCTCGAACTCACAGAGATCCTCCTGCCTCTGCCTCCCGAGTGCTGGGATTAAAGGCGTGCGCCACCACCGCCCGGCCCTGTCCTGGAACTCTTAAAAATACTTTTGCCTCTGCCTCCAGAGTACTGGATTAAAGGCATGCGCCAACACACCTGGCCCACCTTCATTTTTGAAACACTGTCTATTGTTTGGCCAGCGAGCTCCAGTGTTCCAGGAGTCATCACCACCTTAATGCTGGGATTACAAGCATGCTACCATGCCCTGGTTATTTATGTGGGTTCTGGGTATCTAATTTAGGTCCTTATGTTTACAAGGCAAGCATTTTATTGACTGATCCATCTCCCCAGACCAGTTCTTACTTTTTGGAGGGCATGCATATGTGAATGTGTTTGTTTATGTACATGCACATATATGTGTGCATGTTTATGGGGACCAGAAGTCGACATCAGGTACTTCCTCTGTTGTTCTTCTTATTTTTTAAGGCGGGGTCTCTCATTGAACCTGGGGTTGGCCCAATTTTGCTAAGCTGGCTGGCTAGTGAGCTCCTGGGATCTTCCTGTCTCTGCTTCTTCAGTGCTGAGGTTACAGGTGCATTCTGTTGCACCTAGGTCTTGGCTTTTGTTTCTGTGACAGAGTTTCATTATGTAGCCCTGACTGGTCTAAAACATGCTGTATAGACTGGGCTGGCCTCAAACTCACAGACATCTACATGCCCCTACCTTCAGATGGGTGGGATTAAAGATATGCACCACCATGTCTGGCAGTCCTTATTTCTGACCTTCGATGAAAGAATAATGAAGAAACTTTGGATGCTTTCTGGAAAGCCGTTTTCAAGCTGTCGGTTGTGACCCCTTTGGGGGCCACATACCAAATATTCTGCATATCAGATATTAACATTATGATTCATAACAGCAACATTACAGTTATGAAGTAGCAATGAAATAATTTTATGGTTGGGGTCACCACAAGATGAGGAACTGTATTAAAAGTTCACAGCATTAGGAGAGTTGAGAACCACTGGATTAAAGGAAATCTTTAAATTGTACCCAAAGAGTATTGATTTTTTAAAAAATTATTTCTAATACTATGTCTTAAGAACTTATATCAAAACAGCTGAATCCTTTTGTTTTTTAAATTAAAAAGAAAATAGGCCAGGCAATCTTCACTTTTCAAATGTATTATGATGTGTTGTATGCTGTATTTAAGGCCATTTGTTTTTCTTTTGCTATGATGCTTAAGTTTATTTCTGGTTAGTGTTTTTTTGGCAATTGTAGGGGCTCTTTACAGATTCAGATTAGCCATTTATTTATAATGTGAGCTGCAAATATCTCCCCAGTTTGTCTTTGCTTTATAAAATTTTTATATTTAAAGTACATGAATAATGAATCTTGTGATTCTGGTTTTTGAATTATTAGTTAGAAAGGACTTCTGTACCACATAGTTATAAAAACAGATTTACATAGGTTCTAGAATTTTCTTTTTTGTTTAGTCTAGAATTTTTATGGTTTTATGAGTTGTACATATGATCAGGGCTGGAGAGATGACTTAGTGGTTAAGAATACTTTTTGCTCTTGTAGAGGACCTGGGTTTGGTTCCAGACACTTAGATGGTGCCTCACAGCCATCCATAACTCCAGTCTGAGGGAAGCCGCCTTCTTACTTGTGCAGGCACCAGGCATACATGTGGTACACACACATACATGCAGGCAAAGAATTTGTACACACAAAATATTAATTTAAAAATAAAATATTTGATCTAGAAGCAACTTTTGCCAATGCATGAGATAATGAGTTCAGTTTTTTCAGATGGGAAACCTTCATTTATGATGTAGCCCTTTTCCCTACTTGATGTTGAAGCATTGTGTCATTTATAATTTTTCCCTTTGAAATGAGTGATTATGGAATGTCAGCTTGTCCCACTGATATCTTTGCATTGTATTTTTATTTTTCATTTATTTAATCATTTTGTATTGGGAGAGAGGTGTTGGTGTGGGCATGTATGCCATGTGTGTATCTGGAGGTCAGAGGACAATTTTTAGGAGTCTGTTCTTCCACCATGTGATCCCATATCAAACACAGGATTGAACTCAGGTCATTGGGCTTGGCAGCAGGTGCCTTTACCACTGAACCATCTCAACAGCCTGGAATGTGATTTTTTTTAAGAGTTTTAATTATTGAATCCCCTGGATCTGGAGTTATGAACAGTTGTAAGCTGACATGTGGGTGCTAGAAATCAAACCTAGGTCCTCTGCAAAAAAAAAAAAAAAAAAGAAGTTCTTAACTGCTGAGCCTCCAGCCCTGCAACTGTATTTGCTAACAAACAGTTAAAAATCGTAAGCTCTTTATATGAGGAATCTAAACTGTGATTCTAATCTTTTCTCTCACAGATGATATTAACCGTGTTCTTGAGCAACAATGAACAGATTTTAACAGAAGTTCCTATAACACCAGAAACCACCTGTCGAGATGTCGTAGAATTCTGCAAGGAACCTGGAGAGGGCAGTTGCCACCTGGCTGAAGTGTGGAGGGGAAGTGGTATGTTAGGCTATCCAATGGTGGCTACATACACCTCAGTGTGCTCAAATGGAAACATTGCTGTGACTCCCGGTTATCTGTGGTAGAAAGGTGATGAGTAATGAAAAACAGCTGTAGTGTGGGGGAGATAAGATTCTGTAACATGTGACCTCAGGATGGCTCAGTGGTCTATATGGGTTCATGTACCACAACATGCTTGTGAGATCAGAGGAAAACTTTCAGGAGTGAGTTCTATCATTCTGTAATATGGGTTCTGTGGACTAAACTCAAATCAGGCTTGGTGGCAAGCACCTCTACCAGCAGAGCCACCTCATTAGCCCATCAGCAACTCTCTTTAATGTTTTTGTTTTTGTATATGTTATGTTGTATTTATTCGGGGGATGGAACCCAGGACCTTACAAATGCTCAGTACACACTTACCACTGAGCACTACCTCAACTTCTAACAACTCCTTTCCCTTCTAATAACATCAGGAAGACAGCATGTGGTGTAAATAGTAAAATCCTGTCCCTTACATTGGAAAACTTGTTAGTAAGCAGGCAGGGAAAATTCCTGAACATAACATGATTGCAGAATGCAGGAAATTCTGCAAAGTCTATACCCTAAAAAGGAATTTAAACTGGGCATGTTGGTGCATACCTGTATTCTATAACTCTAGCACTCAAGATAAAGGATGAGGACTTCAAGTTTATACTCTTCTACACAGTGAGTTTGAGGCAACCCCATCTTGGAAAAAAAAAACAAAACAAAGTAAAAACTAAAAGAAAGCCGGGCGGTGGTGGCGCACGCCTTTAATCCCAGCACTCGGGAGGCAGAGGCAGGCGGATCTCTGTGAGTTCGAGGCCAGCCTGGTCTACAGAGTGAGATCCAGGAAAGGCGCAAAACTACAGAGAAACCCTGTCTCGAAAAACAAAACAAAACAAAAAAAACTAAAAGAAAATAAAGAAGTAGTTGAATTTAGAAAGAAGGTCTCAGACCCCCCTCATGCGAGGCCCAAGTACCACAGAGAGCTAGAAAGCAGTTGTGCAGATTTTAAATAGGGAATGACATTATGAAAACAATGCTTAGAGAAAAAAATACCTGGTAACTGAGGTATGAATGGATGTACATTGGATACTGAGAAAGTGATCAATTGGACCTTGTTGGGTTTGAAGTGATAAAAAGATAGATGTCCAAATGGAAATGCTTAAAGAACCCTTAGAGATAGTCAAGTATTATTATTATTATTATTATTATTATTATTATTATTATTATTATTATTATTAATTTGGGAGAGGGTTTGAGACATGGTTTCTCTGTGTAGCTCTGGCTGCCCTGGAACTCACTCTGTAGACTAGGCTGGCCTTGAACTCAGAGATCCACCTGCCTCTGTCTCCTGAGTACTGAGATTAAAGGCCTATACCACCACTGCCCAGCCAGTGCAAATATTTTTAAAACTCTGTTTATGGACCTGTATATATAAAAATGCCACTTTTGAAACTAAAAATATGGTGTGAAATTTACTTTTTTAATGTTCAACTTGTATTTTTTTTAAATACACTTAGTTCTGAGTTAAGCTTGAGCTAAGCACACATAGATTTCATTTCATCCAAGAGAGGACCATAGCTGTCTGTACCCTAGGTATTGGTTAAGTAAGGCAGAGCTTGCCTATACATGAACAACAACAGCTCCTGTCAGATGGTTCAAAAAAAATAAATTACCATGTGCAGTGTGTTATAGCTCACAGGGTTACTCGGAGTAATTTTATTTTAAAAATAATTAACTTGGGGCTAGAGTGATGGCCCAATGGAGCATTAAATTACTTTTAAGTACAGAGGACACAGGTTTGGTTCCCAGCACACATAAACAGTGGCAGTGGCTCAAATCTCTATAATTCATTTGTCAGTGGATCCAGTGCCCTCTTTTGACTTCCAAGGATACCGGGTACATATGTAGTAGTATACGTATATATATAGGCAAAGGTTCACACACATAAAATAAAAAAATATTTTTTAAAATAAAATGAACAAAAAGTAAACAATTTAAAGTATGGTGTTACCTATCTGTAATCTGAACATTTAGAAGACTGAAGCTGGAGGATCATGGGTTCAAAGGTAACCTGAACTACAAAGTGACACACTGTCTCAACAACTAAAATAGTAATAATGATCATGATAAGAAGAAATAATAATAATGATGATGATAATATTAAAACAAACTAAAGTACCCAATTTAGGAAGTTAGAGAAAAAATCTAAGGAATTAGATGGACAGGAATGAAGAAATGTGGGAATCAGTAAAACTAGAATTTATTTCTCTGATAATTAATAACAGACAGATTAAGGTTCAAGGTTTAAGTATGTGAACAGTGAAAAGGCATAGATGATAAGAAAAGAAACCTATCCATAAACACAGAAGAGATTTAAGACACAGTGCAGCCTATGAACTTGGCAGTGAAGTTTATATTAGATGAACTATAGGAAGAAAGTACCATAGTTCATCCCACAGATTTTTTTAGTAAGTACCTGATTCATACTAGGTACAGTCTTTATTCCTTGAAGGAATATTAGTCAGCCAGAGCCAAGATTCACATTCCCATGGAACCTATAATCTAGCAGGAACCAAGTGATAAATTAACTGTTGGTGCGTATAAACACCTTGAAAAGAAAATAGTAGATATTGACTTTGCTCAAAATGAGTAAAGCAAGAGGGAACATAAGCATAAAGTAAGTTTGCGTTGCAACTGTTTTTATCCTCCAAAGATGATGCTAAGAGTGATGGGGATGAGACTGCAGCTCCAAGCTGTATCTTTTTAAGGACTTGGATCACAGAAAAAAATTTCTGTATCAAACCGAGATGAAATATATTAAATATGCTTTAATGCAGATTTTAAGCACTACAGGGTTTTTTGTTTGTTTGTTTGTTTGGGATTTTTGTTTTTGGTTTTGTTTTTGTTTTTCAAGACAGGGTTTCTCTGTATAGTTTTGGTGCTTGTCTTGGATCTCACTCTGTAGCCCAGGCCGAACTCACAGAGATCCGATCCACCTGCCTCTGCCTCCTGACTGCTGGGATTAAAGGCTTGCACCACCACTGCCTGGCTAACTACTAGGGTTAAGAAAAAGAACAGTGTTCAGAAAGAAGGCACCTCCTGGAGGTGTGAGTGTAGTCTTCTCTGAGAATCATATTTCTTTGTCTTCATAATAGTCATGTATATGATTTGTGTGAGTTTTGAAGCTATTATCTTGTTTTGTTTTGTTGCCTTTTTGAGGCAGGGTCTCTATGTAACCCTGGTTGGCCTGGAACTCAATATAGATCTTCCTGCCTCTACCTCCTGAGTTCTGGGATTAAAGACACGTGCCACCTTACATTGTCTGATGCTATTATCTTAAAAGGGTTGCTAGGAAACCTAAGTGAGATCACTATCCAGTACCTGAGGAGCACTTGACAGGATTATAGTTGATGTGGTTAAGCTCTTGGTCACTGGGAGCAGGAAGATAAGCTGTCTTTAATGTAACAAAGGTAGTAATCTTAAGATTTCCAGAAAATGTCCAAAGAGGAGTAAGACCCTCCTAGAGTCATATACATTCAGGTCTTAAGCCTGATTTGCTGTCATTTTAGCATAAACTTATATGAAAAAATATCTCGGTGTTGACGCCCTTCACAGCAGATGTTCATTTGCCGTAATTCTTGCTTCTTGGCTGGTGAGGGGCTTCAACTAGACTCTAGGGTGGGAAGCTCCTTTCCCTTTCACATCCCTGTAATTTTCCCTGTCTTTCATACTTTCAAAGAATAATTCATCCCCAGTTGAATATAAGAAAAGTCAAATAGGGAAAGAAATGACCACGTAGTTCATTTTATGAGACAAGTATAATTTCTTTGTTTTGTTTTGTTTTGTTTTGTTTCGAGACAGGGTTTCTCTGTGTAGCTTTGCGCCTTTCCTGGAACTCGCCTTGGAGACCAGACTGGCCTCTAACTCACAGAGATCCGCCTGCCTCTGCCTCCCAAATGCTGGGATTAAAGGTGTGCGCCACCACCGCCCGGCTGAGACAAGTATAATTTCTACACCAAAAACTGAACAGGAGTACAAGAAAAGTATAGGCTAATCTTAGCTTGAGTGTTTTTTTTAAATATTTATTTATTTATTTATTTATTTATTTATTTATTTATTTATTTATTTGTTATGTATACAGTGTTCTGGCTGCATATTTGCCTGCAGACCAGAAGAGGGCACCAGATCTCATTGCAGATGGTTGTGAGCCACCATGTGGTTGCTGGGAATTGAACTCAGGACCTCTGGAAGAGCAGCCAGTGCTCCTAACAGCTGAGCCATCTCTCCAGCCCAGCTTGAGTGTTTTAAGATAGCATCTCATGTAGCCTAGATGGGCTTCATACTTCCTGTGCAGCAGAGAATGACCTTGAACTTGTGCTCTTCCTTCCTTCACTTGAGTGCTGGAGTCGCAGACATGTGCTGCCTGTGCAGTGTAGGACAGAACCCAGGGCTTCCCACCAGCGAGGCAAACATTCTACTGGCTGAGCTACATCTCCAGCCCCCTTAGTTTGAACAAAGATGAGAAAATCCTAAATAAAATACCAGCTAATTATTTCAGCTGAAAGTTAAAAACAAATTGTGTGACATTATAAACATCTGTTTATAGAGGAGAATGCACTTGGTCCAAGTGAGACCTGTCTATCAGCTGCATTGAAGATCAGTGTTACCATTTAATTACCAGTTGGGTAGAATGGATTTTCCCCAATTCAATAAATGACTCCTTTCAAAAGCCTGCAGAAAAGCTCACAATTGGCTCTGAACTGTAGAAATGCACACCTGTTAGCAGCAAGAGGAAAAAGAGGTATACACCTTAGTCTCTACCCCCAAAGCATTCAGCCTATTAGAACATCAGACAAACCCAAATTAGGATCATCCTATAAAATACCTGTCCAGTTCTCAGAATTGTCATAGTCATAAAAAATAAGGACTAAGAAACTATTACAGGCCAGAGGAGGCCAGGGAGTTAAAGCAAT